CAGGCATGCAGACCGCCCGGAGTTGACCATGCCGAAGGTGCGGCAGCTCGTCGCCCCGCGTGTGAGCGACGGTGATGGTGTCTGGGTAGCTTTTAGGCGTCTGCCAGAATTGGCTACGAAGGTTCTCGATGCGGTTCCAGTACTTCGGCACGTTCGGCTGCGACTCGTAACGCAAGTTGAGCCAGAAGAAAGGGATGCTCGCCACGTAGGGCTGACCAGCGTCGAGCTTCTTCTTGGCCTCATCTGGATTGTAGGCGCGGGCCCCGCTTTTGTCCGTCGATTGGTCATGCATGATGCCGTCAAAGGCTGGGTGTCGCATGATCTCGTCGTCGTAGCGGCACAACTTGTGTTGGACCGTCGCGTTCAGGCACCCGGCGAAAGGGTTTACTGCAGACGGACTTGCGCCACCGCCTGCTGGGGCAGCGGAGGCCTTGGCTGCGCGCTTGGGAACTTTGGGCGGTTTAGCGGGAGCATCGTGGGCGCGCTTGCCCATGGCGCTTGCCCAGTTGAAAAGGTGTGGTGTGGAATCCTCACTCGGCGGCGTCGAGTCTCGAGCCCGAATGGCTACTAATGAGCATGATGGAGGAGGAGCTGCGCTGACACGCGCTGCCCCACTGACGCGCGCCGAAGCCGCGCATGGCAAAACAATGCCCGTGGAGGCTATGGGGCCATCATGAGGCCCCCGAGACAATCCAAAGAGGGCCCAGGAGCCCCCCGAGGCAACCCAAAGAGGGCCCAAGGGCCCGAGAAGCGTCTTAAGAAAGCCCGACAAGCCCCAAGAGGGCCCAATACAATCCAAAGAGGGCCCAAGAGGGCCCGAGAAGCGCCCTCTGAGAGCCCAAGACGACCCAAAAAGGGCCCAAGAGGACCCGAGAAGCGCCCCAAGAGGCCCCCACGAATTCCCCAAGAGAGCCCGAGCAGCGCCCAGGACGGCCAAATAACAATCCAAGAGGGCCCCAGGGGAGGTGAATAACTCCGCGCGGCATACATCCTCTGGGGCCATATGGAGGAAGATCTGGGGGAAGATATTGGGAAGATCTGGGGGGGGGGGGATCTGGGGGAAGATCTGGAAGAAGCATTGGGGGGAGGAAGATCTGGGGGGGGGGAGATCTGGGGGAAGATATGGGAAAACCTAAAGGGAATATGCTATGTGTTGTAGTTGTATAGTGTGTAACATATGGCAGACGATTAATGTTCATGCGCTAATGGCAAATATTGCGTAATATATGATATATAATATACCATAATGTATGTTGTAGATGCACACTGTATCTTATAATATATCACAGATGATTGATGATCATGCGTTAATGTCATAAGCTACATACTATGCGATATACTACGCCATATTCCCTACATAGATTCTGCCTAGAAGGGTGCTTACTCTCGATCTTGAAAAGGCCGGGCAGGGGAACGCGCCCTGGGCGGTTCCCCCGGCATCCGCCCCGCGGTCCCCCCCCAGCTACGTCCCCTTAGCTTGGCGTTGCGTATATCATCTTAGCGTAGCGTAGTTCATCTTGGATTACCTTAACTTCATATTATGGCTCAGGTGTATCTTAGCTTAGCGTACCTTCATCGTAGCGTCGCTGAGCTTTAGCATAGCAGAGCACAGCATATCTTAGCCTAGCGCAGCATAGCATAGCATAGTGCGGCATGAGCATAACACAGCATAGCATAACATAGCCAAACATAGCATAGCATAGTATAGCATAGCGCAGCATAACATATCATAGCACATCATAGTAGAGCATAGCGCAACATAGCATGGCATAGCATAGCATAGCGTACCATATCACAGCGCACCATGACATAGCATAGCTTAGCATTGCATATCATAGCATAGCACAGAACAGCACAGCATAGCATAGCGAAGCATAGCATGGCATAGCATAGCCTAGCCTAGCCTAGCAACTAATGCTGCGTCCATAGGGGCTCCAACTTCCAGGTAGGGTCGCAATGGGGTAATGTCGTAGATGATACAGTCTACCCGTGATGGCTTCAAGAGGCACAGCACTGAGCGCGCGGCGCGTGTGCTATCGGCACGGGCACTTTACAATGCATCACAGGTGCCCCCCCGTCGGTTGCGAAACGATGCCGCGGTGAATTTTGCCGGGGGCCACTGGGGACCATCGGGGACTGAAATAACAGGGGCGCGCATGCGCACCTCTGTTATTTCAGCGCCGGGCGCCCAGCTCCGAAATTACAGGGGTGCGCATGCGCAAATCGACTGAAATAACAGATTTGCGCATGCGCAAATCAAGGAAAAGTTGTCTTTTGCGCACGCGCACCTCTGTTATTTCGGCGCCGGGCGCCCAGCACTGAAATAACAGGGTTCCGCACGCGCACCCCTGGTATTTCAGTCGCCGAGTTGGAGTTGTGACTTTAAGGATTTGCGATGTTCACCATTATTTTCGCCCCCGGTGCATTTTGAGGATTCGCTCTTCGAAACTATCGCGCGCATCATTCGCATGATCATCGCATACCTCCTCTCCATTGCCCTACATGTCGTTCTAGACGGCGAGGCCTTAGGTTGCATTATCTTGCATGCGGTGCATGCGGCTGCACCGTCATTATCCTACTTCCCACATGTTCATATCACACATGTCGTTCGCGTAACCAGCAAGATGTTGCAGCGACGACGACGCCGAGGCGACGACGGCGTCGAGCCCCCCCCCCCCCACTACGGAGCTTAAGGAGGAGGAGAAGGAGGACGCGGCCGGAGCTCTCGACCCCACCATTCCTCGAGCCGGGTCGATCCGCGCGGGCTCCACGGCCCACGGCGGGAGGAGGAGGTTATTTTCAGCCCGCGGTGCAGTGATGCTCCTTCCCAGTTGCGCGGAGCCCACAAACCCAACATCGCGCACCAACAACCCCGATGACGCTCTTGGCGCAGTAGGGGTGGCACGCGCAGTGCCCAGAACGCCGACGCATCAGCCAGGGCCCACGCAGGGCTGCCAAATGTAAATTTTACAAGCGGATACTGACTGGCCTAGATTAGATATCATCAGCGCGCCCGAGCGCGCACAAGCATTTCCTGAAAAGGTCCCTCATCACGTTGACCGCGTAAGCATTGCCGATCATCTCTCGGAGCGCGAGCGATTGACATCGGGCGGCGCGACGATGGCATGCGGGTCAAAGCCCTGGCACTTCAACAGCTCGTGCTCGCGGATCAAGCCGCCGCGGTTCGTGATGAACCACTGGAGCTCCCTGGCGCGCTTCTTGGTGATCGTCGGCATCTCGTCGAGGTAGACGGAAATTCCGAAGGATGGGCCCTTGCCGTCGTCGATCACCCACGGCTCAGCATCGGCATCGGCGTCGGGGTACGTCGTCTTGATCTTCTCGAGGCCAGCGACTAGATTGCGCAACTGGTAAGGCTTCAACTCCAACAAGGATGCATGTTTCTGCCTCTCCGTGGGCGAGTCCTGGTCAAGGATGGAAGTGAGGGACACCGTCTGGCTACCAGTTGGCCAGCTCCACTCAGCGCGCTGCCGATCCCGACGAATCCCCACGATGTAGAGGCGCCGCCTTGCGGCGGGCACGCCAAAGTCCCTGGAGTTCAAGATGTGCCAGTGGATATTGTAGATGCCGTCCGCGCACTCGTAGAGGATGCGCATGGTCACATCGAACTGCTTCTTGAACTTCTTGTCGGTCGCGAACTCGGGGACATTCTCGAGGACGAAGATGTCTGGGATCAGCTTGCCAATGGTGAGCCACGTAGAAGACCACGAGCCCTGCGCCAGAGGGGCCATCCACGCCCTGGCGGTTGCCCTGCTTGGAATATGTCGGGCATGGGAAGCCAGCGGTATAGATAGTGACTCTGCCCACGAACATCTCCAGTTGTTGAGGGTCGCGTGCAACCACATCGTCGAAGACTGCGTTGACGTGCGGCTGGGTGGCCATCAAGATTCGCTCGTACACTGGATCCACCTCGGAGGCGAAGTGGTGCTTGAAGGGGGTGATGTGCCGAAGGGCAAAAGCACCAGCGTCGAGGCCACTACAGTCGCTGGCGTAGCCGATGGGCCCAGTCGGCGGCGGCCCCGGCAGCAGCGGCTTCAGCGCCATGAAACGGGCCGCCGCGGCCTTGGCGGATGGCTTAGCCTTCGGCTTCGCCTTCGCGGTCGCCACCCGCTTCGCCTTCGGCCGAGCCCTCGCTGCTGACGAGGCCGCTCTCGCCGCGGGGCGCTTGCGGACAGAAGGGCCGCTCGCAGAGGCATTGGCGGAGGCGGTGGACTGCGGCGCTTCCTCTGGCAGCACTACTGCCCACGTCGCCGTCGCTGGCGGTGACGCCTGCGGCGCGCGAACGGGCTGGAGCCTAAAATTGCTGTTGCGGCGGTGGTCGGCGGGGGGGGCCGGGGCGACATCCATGTTTTCGGGCGCGCATGGCCCGCCTCGCGCCCTCGGGGGCAGTCTCGGGAACTGGGGGGGCCGCGGGGCGGATGCCGGGGGGCCCGCCCGGGGCGCGTTCCACTGAGTGCCCGGCCCCTTTAAGATAGAAATTAAGAGCCCTTTCTAGGCAGAGCCTGGGCAGGGAATATGAGCGAGGGGGTGGGCGCGGGATGGGTCGCGGGTGGGTCGCGGGGCGGGTCGCGGGTGGGTCGCGGGCTTGGGATATACATGTTGCGCCGCACGCGCGCATATAATTTGCACTAAATTGTTTGTAGTAGTTGTTGTTGTTGATGTTGTTGATGCCGTTGCAACCTGTCGGTGGTGCTTTGAGCCAGGATGTTCAGCGTGATTGACCCCGCCTCGTAGGGCTCTTATCAGACAGTCCTCCCAAGATGGCGCCAGACTTTCGCAGCGGAGCAGTGGCGACGAGAGCGGGCCCGCAGCCTTGATTCTAAGGCGTGTCCGGAGCATGACGATGTCGATGATGGCGGCGGGGGTGACGGGGAGGGGGAGAGGTGGAGGAGGAGGAGGAGAAGGAGGAGGAGGAGGGGGGGGAGGAGGAGGGGGAGGCAGAGGAGGAGGATGAAAAGGCGTAGGAGGGGGAAGAGGATTGCTCAGCGGCCACATGCACCCACCGCCGATTGATCCTCATCACGGCGTGAAATGAAATCGTGCATCGCGGCAGCGTCGAATGCCTGCCTGACGCCTGGGCGCACCTCAGCGCCTGATTCAGCCGAGCCTAAAAGGGCTATGGCAATTGTGGGCGTCTTGGCCGCCCTGGCCGTGATATGCACCAGGTCGCTGGTGAACTTCCACTTGCTCACAGCGTGGCTACCCGCGCGATCGACTATCAGAGCGGCGAGCCGGGGGCACTCCGCTAAGAAGGCGTCGGACATGTAGACAATCCCATGCGAGGACAGCGCTGCTCTGCAAACCGCAACTGGACCGGCGCCCGCCACCGCGCGCTCCCACGTGCAGACCGCGCCACCGATCAACGCAGCATTCCAGAGCACTGACTTCGCAGGCTGCTGAACCTCCTTGACCACGAACACGGATGCCTCCGAAGCGGTGGTCCGAGTGAAGTTGGCCTCGCGGGCCTTGGCTGCGGCGACTGCCGCTGTCACCGGCACGTCAGGAGCGACGTAGATGTTGCCATCTGCAATCGTGATGTCGGGCGGTCCAGCCGCCGCGCGACGCCGTTTTAAGGCGCGCCCGATGTATTGCTTGTCGTTGGTGACCTTTTTCTCCATCAACGTAACCACCTTCTGAAGCTCATCCACCGAGGCGTTCTCTAGAGCTCCGAGTCTGCCTGCCCGGGCCTCCTCGGAAAGTCGCTGACACTTCTTGGCGTGGACGAAAACCATCTCCTTGGATTGCTCATCTGTCCACGTCTCAGGCTGCAGCATCGCACCTGGATCCACGGCGTGGACGGACTTCAGCATGCCCGGGCTCGCCGCAGCGTCGAGCTGACGCTTCCTGTTTTGCCGCCAGCCGCCCTCGCAACCCTCGTGTCGGGCCTGCAAATGTTGCCCGCCAGCGTCGCTTCGCAGCTGCCTGTTTCCACTGCCGGACGCTCGGGGCCGCCCGAAGATGTCGCTCCAGATGTCCGTGGCCATCTGCAGCGCTTGAGGTAGGTCGCTCTTCTCGAGTTCGACGATCTCCATGCGGTCGCAGCAGGCGTCATTGCCCAGGGATGCTACGCGGTGGTTGTAGCCCTTCCCGAAGGACTGCTCAACCCCGCTCGTCGACCCGCCCGCTGCCCAGTAGCGAACGATCACCTGCATGAGCTTTGATGGAGGAGAAAGCGAAGTATCGAGGACGCCACCGCGTTTGTTCGCCGTGGCCATCTCCGCAGCGCGCATCCAAGCATCCCGCGATGACAGCGACTTCTCCGCGGCCACGCGTGTCACCAAATGGCGCGCAGACTCCATCTGCCCCACCAGTTCGTCTGCCGTCGCCTCGATCCCGAAGGCCTCGATCAAGCGCTCCATCTGCTTGTGGCGCTGCACGTTCGCCGAGCCCTCGGCGTGCGCGCCCATATCCCTGTCGTGCTGCACGACGTTGAAGACGCCCCAAGCCTGAATCGTCTCGAAGCTGGGGAACTCTGCCTTGAGCGTATCCACGACACTCGCGACCCAATTGATCATCCGTTTGAGGCATCGCTCTTGCACCGCTGGGGCCACGTCGTTTGGACAGCCAAGTACATGCACGCCATTACCAGGTAGTTTGATGGGGTGCTTCAGCAGCTTCAGCATGTGCCCGGTGAAAGTGTAGTCGGTACGCGGTATGCGCGGCCATGGTCGGGTGGCCGCCGGCCCCAAAGAGCGTCTTCACGCGGTCGACGAAGGCGCTCAAGTTGAAGGACAGGTCGTCGGCCGGGAACCCCTCGTAGTCCAGGGGCCTCATCAACTGATAGTGTTCCTCCCCCGCGTCCGCAAGCATTGCAAAATGTAATGCCTTCTCCGAGTCCAGTTCATTCATGAAGTTGGTGGCAGCCTTAGCTTCTGCACTTGAGTTCGGACGTGTTTTTTTGCACTTGGACCAAGGTGGCAATGACAGCTGGAAAGTACAACACGCTTCTTTCCAAGGGCAGCTGGCCGCTCTCGACACGGTGGCCAGCATACCGCAAATCTTTCACGGCATTGCTCGGCTTCGCCACGGCCCTGAGGTGCGGCTCGATGGCGGAAATATTCTTCTGGAACGACGCGCTGAATTGCTCCGAGTACTGAATCAGCTTTGTTGGAGACTTCTCGTCTGTGACGAACAGCGAGTGGACTTGGCGCAGGAATGGGTCCGCCTTCCACGGGCGACTCAGTAGTCGACGCGAAGCGTGAGGCTTGTCTCGAAGGACTTCGCGGAGGCACGGTAGCACCTTGGCCACCTCCCCGCGGGCGGTCTGCCCTGCTAGCATCATCCCCGCGCGGATCTCGTCGGCGGCCGCGTCGCTGACGAAAACCTCCACTGACTTCTGGACCCGCTGCAGCAGGACAGGGTCGGGCGCCATCGCTGCAGCGGCGGGGGCGCCTGGCGCGCCCCACCTGCAGGCGCAGAACCGCCCTCGGCCATCATGAGCTTGACTGCGGCCATATGTGCAGTCGACCCCTCGTGCTTCTTCAATGCGCGAGGCTTCAGCTGTTCATGAGTGGTGAGTCGAATGTCCTTGTGTGATGAGGAACGGCCGCTCTTTGCACCGAAAGTTGAACATATGGCGCAGCCGACTGCCCAAGGCTGATCAGACACAGTGAGCCACGTGACGCCAGGTACAATGGTGAATTGGGCTTCCAGCTCGGCCTGGCGCTGCGAGAACCAACGTCGGCAACAGTCAACAGCTTGACACCCCCCGCAAGCTGCGCTCCCCGCCTTCCCCGACATCGGGCCATCTCCCGAATCGGAGCTGAACCCAAATGACTACTGAGGAGGACGAGGCGGATGAGGAAACTGGCATGTGTAGCACCCCGCAATTGCGGATAAGAAAGAGGGTGCGGGCGCGGGGTGGGTCGCGGGTGGGTCGCGGGGTGGTCGCGGGTGGGTCGCGGGTGGGTCGCGGGTGGGTCGTGGGTTGGGTCACGGGTGGGTCGCTGATGGGACGCGGGGCGGGTCCCAATCATAGCCAGGCGTAGCATAGCATAGCGCAACGTAGCATAGCATAGCATCGCATCGCATCGCGTAGCATATCATAGCATAGCGCAGCTTAGCATACCATAGCATAGCACAGCATAGCTTAGCGAAACACAACGCGTCATGACATCGTATAACTTAGCATCGCACAGCACATCATATCATATATATCATATCATATCATAGCATAGCATAGCACGGCATAGCATGGCAGAGCACATCATAACATAGCATAGCAACTAATGCTGCTCTCCTAGGGGCTCCAACTTCTAGGTAGGGTCGCACTGGGGTAAGTATTCGTCTTCGGTCGTAACCCCTTGGAGTGTGTCCAGGATGCTGTGTTTTTTTTTTTTTTTTTTTTTTTTTTTTTTTTTTTTTTTTTTTTTTTTTTTTTTTTTTTTTTTTTTTTTTTTTTTTTTTTTTTTTTTTTTCTCTCTGCGTGCTCTGATTGATGGGCTGTTCTGGCCCCTGATTGATGGGCTGTTCTGGCCCCTGGGGGCCGCTGTTCATTGTTCCCAACCATCCTGCGGTGTTGGGTCCTCGCTCCTCACCCCTCCTCCCATACCCCCCTCCGCCCTCAGTCATCTTCATCACCATCATTCATCCATCACTATCATCACCATCACCAGCATCATCATTTTCACCATCATCAGAAGTATCATCATCCACATCACTCGTCCTCGCCATCACTACATTACCATATCATACGTAACAATCGTCATCAGCATCATAAATCGCAGTCGCCATCGCTGTCACCACCATCACCATCATCATCGTCGCCATCATCATCATCATCATCGTCACCATCGCCCTCATCACCACCATCGTCGTCATCAGCATGTCCATCATCATCCTCATCATCATCCTCGTGATGGTCATCGGCATCATCATCATCATCGTCACCATCATCACCATCACCATCATCATCATCAAGAGACTGGTCGCCATCATCAACACCATCAACATCACCACCAACATCGCCATCATCATCGCAGCTACCGTCAGCATCATCGGCACGCAAGCACACACACACACACACCTCACACGTTTCGATGCCCCATAGGGAGCTTCACCTAAGGTCTCAGTGGCGCCGTCCGCATGGCGGCGCCGCCCCATGTCGGCACACCCCTCGCGCGCCTCGTGGTCCCATAGGGAGCTCCACCCAAGGTCCCAGTGGCGCCGGCCACATGGCGGCCAGAATATGCTCGGCCCAGCGCTGGCCATCTCATGGTCACGAGGATGAGGATACAGACGGGCGGCCCATGCGCCCATCTATCCGTCGTGTAGCCGTTTTGGCTCCGACGCAAGTTTCGATTCCAGTCTCATCAGCTGGCCAACGATGTCAGATGCGCAGCCTGAGTTTCTTCAAGACACTCATGTACCTTCCCTCAACTGGGATGGCGATCAATGCTCTCAAGGACCTCTCGGCAGCGTTCAACCTTCTAAGAAGAGCTTGAACGACGACGGTGATGGGCATATTTCGTTGAAAAGCGGCAGCGTTGACTTGACCTCGGTTGATGACAGCCCCAGCCCTTGTGCCACTGCCAGCGCTACCATTTCCAGCGCAGGCGGTGCCAGTGCTACCAGTGCCAATGCTTCGCAAGTGGCAGCGCAGTCAGTCGCAGGAGTGGCCACTCCGCAGCCTACTTGGCTGCGCAAGCGGTCGAAGTATCATGGCCTGCCAGATCAGACGATGGTGCTCATGCACGAGGACATGCTTGGCCGCTCGGATCCTCGACCGCCAAAGCTATCCAGCGCGCCGCCAGCTACGCCGACACCAATGGTGAAGCCACCAGCTACGCCGACGCCAGTGGCACAGCCGACCCCGGCTACGCCGACGCCAGCAGATCCGCCCACAGCTACGCCGACGCCAGTGGCGAAGCCGACCCCAGCTACGCCGACGCCATCGGAGCCGCCTACAGCTACGCCGACGCCAGTGGCGAAGCCGACCCCAGCTACGCCGACGCCATCGGAGCCGCCTACAGCTACGCCGACGCCGACGGCGGCGCCGCCTACAGCTACGCCGGCAGAGGTTGCGAAGCGGCGTCGGACGCTCGGCAGCCCAGTGGACCAGGAGAAGAAGATACAGTCCCAGTGGACGTGGACGACGCACAAGGACATCCCGCCGACGCTCCTGCCGTTCTACCAGGACATGGCCAGCTCCTGGCGCCGCCTCAACGGAGAATGCACTCCGACGTTCTACGAGGTTAAGGTCACGATGAAGGCGTTTCGTGATGAGAAAGATTTGAATGGAGTTTGAGTTGAGTGGTAGATTTGAATGGAATTTGAGTTTTGAGTGGCGCAGCTGGCTGGTCGCCAGAATGAGGGGCACTCGTTTACAATTTGACTCTATTTGCGGCGTTCCAGACGCCAACATTCGCCTGGGGGTGAATCTGGAAACGATCATCGTCATCCTTCCTCCTGAAGGTCCTCAGTCTCGTGCTCTTCCTCCTCCTTCTCCCCCTCCTCCTCCTCCTCTTCCGCTTCCTTTTCCTTGCCTCGCGTGCGTTGTGGCACCATGAATTACAAAGACACGATTTCACAGCATGAGCCGCCGAATAAAAAAAAAATAAAGCAAGCGCACCGCTCTGATTATCAGAGCTTTCACCGAGCCATTGCCCGTCGCACCGCTGGGTGATATTTTACAATCGTGGCCCTGGCACCAAATTCTGAACCACAGTGCGTACAGCGAGTCCCATAGCAGCGAACCGATACAGGAATCACACACCACTGCAGCACATTCCATCATCAGAACATAACTCCCAATCATAAAGAATACGTCTGGCCAGGCTCAGCGATGATCATCAACGCCCCAACTGCGCACGTCGGCCAAACATGCTGATTAAACAACTGCGTGTCAAATTAACTTGCACCCCGTATTCAAATAAACTGAGCACCAACGTGAAATTCACATTTGTTCAACAATCGACGCAAATAGCCACATCGCCCCCGCGTCGAGGTTAGCGCGCGGCTGCAAGATCGAACTCGATGGCCCCTCAGGTGGCCACAACGTTTCGTCGGTGTCCTGCCGGCGAAGGAATGACTCCATGATTTGATTGATCCTGTAGTCTTTCGCGTAACTGTGGAAATCCTCGTAAGAGCCCGTGTCGCGACCCAACGTCCTCTTCTTTTGATGCTTGGTGGCGTCGCTCACTGCGCGAACTTGGGCGGGGGTGCACTCGCGCACCCTGATGTTAACAGACACTTGCCTCCCACAGTTGTACGCAAGTCCACCATCGCCGTCGCTCACGAAGAGCACTCGCCAACCACTCACAGTTGCCAGCGTGCACATGCTAATCAAATCGAACCTTCCATCACCACCGACGAAATTCATTGGGCCGATTGAACCAGCACTCGAAACTTTGACAACCAAGTCTCGGCCATCGCCTATAGTGGGAATCACATCTCCTGAAGCCCATTCAGCACAAATCTTGGGATGATATCCTTCGACATACTTGAGTAAGGCTATCTGAGATGGCGCCCCACTCGCTCTGATTGCATCCCATCGCCTGCTGATTGATACCACCACCGATGACGGCAACTGACCGAGGATGGCTTCGTACGTCATGTTCTCATAGACCAGCCGTCTCTGCACGTTGTCTGGCTTGTGCTTGAGATATTTCCACAGAAGCGAGTCCAAATACTCACGATGGCCGCTTGGAGGGCATGCACACGAACCCACCACGATACATGACGAGCCCACCGCCAATGAATCCTCATAGAGCTGAAATATATCGCGCGCTCTCACAGCGACTCCTAGCTGTCGCAAACGTGGTCCATTATGAGCCTCGAGCGCCGTTGTATCTATGTCAGAGACTTCCCATGCTTGTAGATTCTGCACATCGCAACCCTGGCCCGCCATGGAAAACTCGCCCGACTAAGTCAGTATATGATCGCCCCACTTCGCCAAAGGCGCGAGGCGCAGCTCAAAAACAAAGCTCATTGGGCCAGCAGGTTCACGGAGCAGATCGGGGGAGGGGGAACGGATGGCCTGCTCAGGAAGGGGGCGGGGGGGGGGAGTGAGTTATTCCGCTATGCTATGCTATGCTATGCTATGCTATGCTATGCTATGGCATGCGGTGATATGGGACGCTAACTTATGGTATGACATGATTGAATATGCTATGCTATGCAAATGCTATGATATGGCGTTCCCCGCTGGTTCACGTGCGTGCATACATGCATATAGACAGTTGCGCGCTCACATCTAACACGCGCGTGCGCATAGATATGTGTACATGCACAATTTGATATGCTAGCATGGTTGGCAATCAGGCGCATGCGCATGTTAGTGGACACGCACTTTTGAACGCGGTGTGTATATATACATATATGTGTATATATATACATATGTACATATATATACATATATATGGCACTTATGTA